TTGGAACAAAACAGCCTCTGGTTTGAACCCCGACAGCCCTACCTACTTGCTGTTCCCACTTAAGTTGCTTCAATTGCTATGTGAGAATAATAATGATGATGGTGATAACAACAGAACAACTCCTGCAGGATGGTGTTTAGCAAAGATGGGCACAAACACGGGCCCTGGATGGCTCTGCCGCTTGTGGCTGGCCCTACACCAGCCTCTCTTTAAAGCGGCTTCCTCCTCTGTGAATTGGAGATGATAACAGGATCAACTCCAGAAGGTTTCTGCAAAGATTAAATAAAAAGCATCCCTAAAAAATGCTCAGTACGTTTACTGAGCATAAAGTACTAAACACAATGCCTAGCATATAACTGAAAATTAACAAACAGTAACAGCATGCAAGTCATAAGTAGACGATATAAAAAGTGCATACGTGTTTTGAGGAAAGGCTGGCTGAATTTCAGAAAACAATGCATGATTTCGAATCTCAGATAAATAGCTCATACTGTAACAGCTCTCGGGGCAGGGGCTGACACCAACTATTATCAACAAAGGCCCCATTATCAAGTCTCTCAACGGCCTCGCTTGTGTTAGCTGGTGTCCATGGCACCGCTGCACACGCATGTGCAACCCACATCTCCAAGGAGGGCATCTCACATCAACAGTGGCACCTATTCTCTAGGGCATCTTGTCTCTGAGGTTCTCTCTAATGAGGGTAGCAAAACTGCAAAAGAATATACAGGCAACGAGGAGGGAGGTTCACAGGACTGGAAGAAGATCACAGAAATCCAAAATTATTGAGCCTCAAAAATAGTGAGCCCCAAACAGCCATCTGCATCATATCACAACTTCAGCCATGACTCCGCAAACAGGATTTTGTTATTCGAGAGTAACTTTATTCTTGTGTATGAGTTTACAGAGCTAACATCTGTGCATTTTCCCTTTGAGAAACAAATTGAAGCTTGTGGACACAGCTGAATTAGACCTGCCTGAAAAGGCTGCGCCTGCAAACGGAATCATCAGAGCTGGCGTGGTTCACTGGGGCCTGAAGGAGGGTGGCCAGGGAAGTGGGTCTATACGTAGCACGCACCCTGGGAACTCAGCAGCCAGAGTACGGTTCTTGGTATGACCTTCAATGTGCTCCGTGATCCGGCTTCTCTTCCTCTCTCTCCACAAGATCCCTAAGCTGCCAGCATCCCAGCCTGTGCCTGAAACCAGGTCCGTCCATTCTGCCTTTGTACCCACTCTGTATGGAGTGCCCTTTGCCCAGTGGTTCCCCAGTCTGGATTGTAACTCTGTGTTTGCAGGCCTGTCCCTCCACACTGGGAGCTGCTCGAGGGCCAGGAGCAGACGCCAGTCACATCTGCACCTGCACTCTGGAGAGGTCCAGAGAGGCCATGACTTGCCCTTGACCCGCATAGGTTCACAAATGCCACTTGTCATGCAGGATCTGCCAACAGAGAGCCAGCAGGGAGAAGTGGGCAGAGCAGACTTGAAGCCTGGTTTCAAATGGAATATCTGGTTCAAAGACTAGCTCTTTCTAGCTCTATGACCTTGTGTAGGTTAGCCTCTGTGTACTCCCATGTACTCATCTGTAAAATGGGCACAATAAGGCACTTCCTGTATTGGGTTGCTGGAGGGATGAAATAACCTCAGGTGTAACAGCACATGACCCAGAGAGGAGCTATGGAAGGGTTCATTATCATGGTCATCATTGCTATTAAAAGTACATGTAGGGGCTGGTGCTGTGGCAAAGCAGGTGAAGCTACCTGGCAGTGCCAGCATCCCATAGGGGCGCTGGTTCTAGTCCCGGTTGCTCCTCTTCTGATCCAGCTCTCTGCTGTGGCCTGGGAAAGCAGTGGAAGATGGCCCAAGTGCTTGGGCCTCTGTCCAGGTGTGTTTTGCTCCTGGCTTCCGATCAGCCTGTTGTGATCATTTGGGATGTGAGCCAGCAGATGGAACACCTGTCTCTCTCTGTCTCTCTCTCTCTCTCTCTCTCTGTCTCTCTCTCTCTACCTCTTTATAATGGAACTCTGCCTTTCAAATAAATAAATATTTAAAAACAAAATGTATGTGTAAGGAAGGGAGACTGTGTGCTCGGTATCTGAGCAGCTGCTATATTCACACACGGGCTCAGGGCCACCCTGTAAGTGGACCACGTTCTACAGCTCCTGGCTACAAACCCACAAAAGGTGACAGAGCTGTCACTTGGGTTGTGTCTCCTGACCCTACTTCTTAGCTGGGCTTCCCACCTACCCCCACCACAGCCAGTCAGCCGTCAGCTGGGTTCTCCCAAACCCATGCCAGGGGCACTGCTGCTCAAGCCCTTGCACCCCCGTCCCCTGCACAAGTTCCTGCTCCTAGAATGTTAGTGCTGGGGGGCTAGAGATGATCGTGTCCACCATCACCCCCTTATCAGAAGGGGAAGCTGAGGCTGAGAGAGGCTACGTGTCCGTACTTTGTTAGTACCAGGTTTATGTAGACGCTGCTTGTGCTGGCCACACAGCTAACACTGTGGTAGGTCTTTGGCACTTTTCAAACTCCACATTCCAGAGTGTGAAGGTCAACCGTGAGCTCACTTGCACGCACCCCAGCATCCACCTGATGAGTCTTCATCGCGCACCTGCCGTGCTCTGGGGACACAGGCAGACACCACCCGTGCCTTCAGGACCCCACGGACAGGGGAAGAGTGGCCTGAAGTAAGTGATCAGGCAGCTGATGGCAAAGTCTTGCCGTCGCGAGTGAACTAGGCTTAACATCTCCTGGAACGCGCATCCCCACTTCACGCTGTTGTGCTTTCTGAGGGTGGGGGTGGGGGGAGGAGGAGGGAAGGCTTGGGAGTGGAGGAGGAAGTTCGTAGGCCCTGGGCCCACCCCACTGGGGGTCTCATGTTGATACTGTTTCCATTATATGGCTGCAGCAGGAGGGAGATTGGCAACCACTGGACTGGCCCTGCCTGTCCTATTGTACAGATAAGCAAACTGAGGCCTGGAGAGTTTGACTCGCCCGAAGTGGCACAGATGATAATAGAAAAGTCTTGAAATTCCTCAGTGGCTTCTACAGCCTCCCTTCCAAAGGTCCAAAGCCAATAGCGTGGCTCCTGACCTGCCTCTCCTCATCATTCTGCCCCCCGCTGTGGGATCCAGGTAGACGGCGTGAAACGCGGAGGCTGGACCGCACGTCTCCTCCAGGAAGCCCCTCTGGAGATGCCCACAGCTCTGACAGGTGCACTGAGAGAGACAAACACTCATCACATAACACATTCATCCATTCAGCAAGTATTTATTGAGCAACTTCCACGTGCCAAGCTCCTGCGGGCACAGCAGTGAACAAAACAAGGCCCCTGCCCTCATGGGGCTTCCATTCTAGAGAGGGAAACATACAAGGAACAAGCAGTACACCAAGCAAGGTCAGGGACAACTGAGTGCTATGAAAAAGGAAAACACACAGGTAGCTAAGAGCTGGAGGCTGGCAGGGGCTCAACAGGAGAGGCCTCAGGGAGGAGGGGTGTTTGATCCGTCTCCCAGACCGGAGAGTCCTGCCCTGAATCCCATGCCCCAGGCCTGGGGGCCCTGCCTCCTGCAGGCGGACTTCCCCAGTGACTGGGCCCTTCCCACCACGATGTCCGCCCTGCCTGACTCTCCACTTCCCTCCAGACGAATGACTCTGCTACCGGGACATCCACCCTCGGATCACATCAGCCCTGCACGGTCCAGCCCCACCCCACCGTTACTGGATGTCTACCATGGCCACCACGCAAGGCCAAGTTCCTGAGCTTGCCTGCTGTCGAGCTAGCTTCGCAGCAGATCCCTGTCACTAGCTTCGCCAGGCCAGCTGGGTCCATGTCGCCACACGCGGCTTCCCTAAACCTGTACTCCTGAAAGCACAGGAAACAGCCGGATAGGCTGCAAACTCGTCCCTTCCAGTGGCTTCTGGCCTCACACAGCTGCAAAAGACAACTCAAGAAGTCACCAGTGGGGCCGGCGCTGTAGCACAGCTGGTAAAGCCACCGCCTGCATCCCATATGGGCGCATGTTCAAGTCCCGGCTGCTCCACTTCCGATCCAGCTCTCTGCTATGGCCTGGGAAAGCAGTAGAAGATGGCCCGAGTGCTTGGGCCCCTGCACCCATGTAGGAGACCCGGAAGAAGCTCCTGGCTCCTGGCTTCGGATCGGCACAGCTCCGGCCATTGAAGCCATTTGGGGGGTGAACCAGCGGATGGAAGACCTCTCTCTCCTTCTCTCTCTGTGTAACTCTGACTTTCAAATAAATAAAATAAATCTTTAGGAAAAAAAAAGAAGTTCCCGGTGCCTCATGGTAGCCCACACCACAGCTAAAGCGGGTACAAGGACGAATAACTCACGTCGTTAGTTCTCCGTTCCCCCCACCACACCTGCCACCTGCCAAGCCCTGAAATGCACAACTCGGTATCTGCCCTGATGATGATCATGATGGTGGTGGAGAAAAGGGGCAGGAGGGTAAAACAGATCGCCTTTTACCGTCCACCCGTGCTACTCGACCCTAAGCGGTGAGCTAGGTTCTGTGGGCCTCACTTCACAGAGGTGACGGGGTCTGCTCAAGGTCACGCGGCTACGCGGCTGGGTGTGGCCAGCACCTGGGTCTGGCTGCCCCCCTCCCCCCAGTGCAAACTGTGATGCTGCCCCAGAGTCGCACAGGGACTGTTCAACAAATGCAACTGAATGCGGTGAGAGAGAGACGGTCCCAGGCCCGGGAGCCCAAGCTGGTGCAGGACTCGAAGGTCAGTGCGGATGGCTGCAGGGGAGCCAGAGGAGGGAGTGGCTAACTTGACCTGGAAGGGTCTGGGAAGACTTCTTGGAGGAAGTGGCTTGGGGACTATGGCCTTGAAGGATGAGCGGATTTGCGGCTGCCAGGCGGGCTGTGGGCGAGGCGCACGGCAGGAGCTCAGCGCTGGCCGGCCGCGCGCTGGCCTGCTGAGTCGTGCCTGGGGTCGTCCAGTCCACCCCCCCGTGCCCACGCGGCCGGGCCGGGCCTCACCTCCTTCCACTTGAGCTGGCGGATGCTGATCTTCAGGGCGTCCAGGGAGGTCTTGGCCTTGGAGCTGTCCACGGTGACCGGCCGCAGGGCGCCGCACTCGTCCGGGAGGCGGCCGGAGCTCCGCTTGCAGCTCCGGCCCTTGCTCCGGGGCTTCCCGTGTTGGCAGGGGCCCCGCGCCAGCGCCGGCCTCGGCTTGTCCTGGGGCAGCGCGGGCGGCGGCTGCGGGGAGACGCCGGCGTCCCCCTCCTCCGCCGCGCGGGGCTGCTCCGGGGCCGGCGCCTTGGGCTGCTCCTCGGCAGCTTTGCGCTCCGGCTCGCCGGCTGCACCCGCGTCCACGCCGACCCGCTCCGCCGCCGCCTTGGCTTTGGCCTCCAGCTCCCACCGCTCCGCCAGCTCCCTTTCGGCGCTGCCCCGCCGCATGGCGCTCAGGGCCGGTGCCAGCGCCGCCGCCGCCGCCGCTGCTGCTCTACCACCCCGGCTCGAGACCAAACTGCTGCCGCCACCGCCGCCGCCACGCGCTCCCTGCCCGAGCCCGTTGCCATGATCGCTCAGGCGCCGGTTGACAAGGGCAGGCTCCGCCTCGGGACGGGGCCCGGGAAGGGACAATCGCCGGCCAAGCCCCAGCCACCTCATAGGCGAGCGTGTCCACGTGACCAGACCTGTCACAGAGGCGGTGGCGGCCATCTTGGAAGAGGGCGGAAAGCCTCCCGCCCCGCCCACCTAGAGAACGCACCCCTTTCTGGGTGCACAGAGGCTGCAGGACTGAGATGTGGAGCGCGTGGCGGGGGCTCCCAAGCCTGGAGTTGAGACACAGCAGCTCCCCAGGACCCTCACTCCCAGCTCGCTGAGCTGAGCACCATTCTGCTCCTGTGAACGCGACCCGGGTGCCTCTCTTCAGTGGAATCGGACATTTGTCCTCTCGTGGCTGGCCCATCTCACCTAGCCAGATGTCTCCGTGGTTCCTGCGTGGTGTAGCAAGTGTCCCGCTCTCGCTTTTGAAGCCTAAACGATACTGATAGATGTGTCGCGGAGTGGCTGTCCTTGCCTCTGTCCTGGGACACTGGCCGTTGTGGACACTGGCACACAAGCACCTGTTTGAGCTCCTAGTCGTCGATGCTTTCGGGTTGCCGGTGGGAGCAGAGGCTGTGCCCCTCCCATGGGGGTGGGAAGATGTGAGAGCACCCCGTCTGTCTACAGTGATGGCCCGGGCTACGTTCTGTGCTGTGGGGTGAATGGAACACAGACTTGCAGGAAGGCGGCCCTCTCTCCGCTCATCTCTTCAGGCTTCGGGATCCTCTGGAGGATAAAGTGTCTGGAGGGGTACAAGTCGTGCTGGGGGCCCAGGCTTCCTCTACTGTAGCACACGGCGCTCTCCTCTCTCTCCTTGGAGCCCACCGCGGCTTTGCTCCCGTGTTCTTGAAGTATGCTCATGTGACCACCTGCACCAGCCCCGGTCCCCAGGGGAGCTGACAGGCTGGACCCAAATACCTGAAGCCAAGCTCGGGAAGGCTGCAATTCCCCTGGGAGCTCCGCGGGCTCTTCCGGGCCCTGTCTTGGAACAGCGGACGCTGGAACAGGTTCTTAAGGAGGATAGGAGGGGCAAGGGGCTCCGGAGGAGTGGGGGAATAAGTGCAACAGGCATGGGGAGCACCTTTGGTCAGAATCACAGTCTTGTCAAAGCAAACGCTGAGCCAGGATGGAGTTGTCAGGGATACTTAGGGGACTCCCTCTATAAAAGCTTCGACACCCTCGCAGTTTCTTTCTAACTGGATAGGCTAGAGTCACATGGTGGCCGTTGATGATGCGAACCAGACAAAGATACCCACCTTGAGTCCTGGTCCTTCTTATCC